GCTTTTTTGTTGTTGATTTTAAAACCCTCTTTAACGCCGACGACTGCGTGCATAATAACCGTACTCGATCGCCTCGAGCCGTTTTACCGTTTTGCGCAGTTAGTGATTTGTGGTTTGGTTGGTCGAAGAAGAATTTGTCGAACGAGCCTTCAGTCGCTCCCGCGACGCTGCATAGCAATTGCGTTGCTCAGCCGTACGATCTCGGCTCAGTATGGGTGGGAGAACTGCCCACCGGCTTGTGACTGTCCGGACTGATAGAAACCACTTCGGTCGCCCTGGTAGGTCGAATCCTGTGACAATAAGCCGTCCATCTGCGACTGGAACTCGCCGACCGCGAACGAGTCCTGCGACAGCTCCGCTTGGCTCAGGCCCGGCTGGGAAAGGCTGAAGCCCGGCTGAGACATGCCCTGCGTCGTGCCCTGCGTCAAGGGCAGACCCGGCTGACTGTACGGCTGCGTGCTCTGCTCCGTTTGGCTCAGCTTCCCTATGCGCGGACCCTGCTTGTTCTTGGACAGAGCGGCGCCGCGACGGTTCCGCTGGTTCTGCCTAGCCTGTAACGCTTGCTGATGTTGATTATAAAACCGTGGTGGCACGTGCGCCATATTCATGAACATGCCAACAGGAACGGGCACGTTGTTCATGGCCGCCTGCGCTCTTTCCGGGCTGATGTAGCTGATGGTGTCGTGCGTCCTGCTGAATATGTCCAGCGGCACGTTCCTCTGGTAATAGGGGTTATGGTTCTGCGTCCCGTTCACCTGGGTGCCTGACCTGTCGTACACCGAGCCCGGGATCAGCGCCTCCCTGGCGTCGTACATGGAGGTGGACATGAAGTGCGAGCCCGGATTGGCGGCGTTGACCAGCTTCTTCGGCTTGGCGAACTGGATCATGGACTCCTTGAGGTTGTTCAGCGGCCCCTCCACGAGCACCTTCTGCTCCTTGTAGAAGCTCAGCAGATGGTTCCAGAGCGGCTGCTTGGATAACACTTTGGGGTTGCCCACGATGATGATCCCGTACTTGGCCCGCGTCAGCGCGACGTTCAGGCGCCGCGGGTCGTTCAGGAAGCCGATGCCCTGGTGCTCGTTGGACCGCACGCAGGACATTATGATTATGTCCTTCTCCCTGCCCTGGAACGCGTCCACGCTGGCCACCTCTATCTCCTGGTAGAGCTTCGAGTGCAGCGAGCCCTGGTACTGCATGTACTGCACCAGGTAGGCCCGCTGCCCCTCGTACGGGGTGATCACGCCGATCTGCTCGGGCTTCACGCCGCAGCGCAGGAAGCGCGTGGCTATCTTCTCGACGTTCGACGCCTCGGTTCTGTTCAGGTAGGAAGTGCCGCTCCCGGCGATCTCCTCTTGGCCCTGGGTCACGTAGAAGAACATGGGCTTGTCCGGGGCGGGCCAGGGGAAGTCGATCTTCAGCAGCTTCCTCTCGTCGGCGCACACGCCGTTCTGCAGGGAGCCCTCGTAGAAGAAGTTCGACGGGAAGCGCGAGAGGTCCGGGTGCATGCGGTATTGCACCTCCAGGCGGAAGGGTCTGATTCCGAGGACGACCAGCCGCTCGAACAGGGACTGAGACAGACCTGCTCTGGCTGCCTTCTTGCACATGACCACTGGTCCTAGTTGACAGTGGTCCCCGACGAGGATTAGCTGCTTTGCTCCGAGGACGACTGGTACCATGCACTCGGGCTCGGTGGCTTGCATGCTCTCGTCGATGAGGATCGAGTGGAATTTCAGTCTGTGTAGTCTTGGATCACCTGCTCCCACGCAGGTACAGCAAATTACGTCGGCCGCTTCTAGCAGTTCCTTCTCTGCTGCTTTCTTCAGCAGTCTGTAGCGCTTCTCGTCGACGCTGGATAGTTCACCGGTTTCATCCTTCAATTGTTGTAGCTTCTGTAGCTCGGTGTTCGTCTCCATGTTCTTGATCTGGTTGTGCAGAGCCAGGAAGCTCACGGGCGAGTCGATCGCTTCTCTTGATTTCGCGCATAGCCGTACTACCTTCAGGTTTGACTTATGTATCTTCTCTGTGAGTTGATCCACTGCTGTGTTGGAGGGAGCGCATACTAGTACGGGTCCGCCATTTTGTTTCACTAATTGATAAACTATCGTCGCGCTGGTCACAGTCTTCCCTGTTCCGGGTGGTCCTTGGATTAAAGACAGCGGCCTCTGCACCGCGTGTTTAACGGCGTACACTTGGGACCGGTTTAAATCGGGTAGGTTAGGAGCACTGAAGTGTTTGGGCAAGTGACAGCGGAAGAGAACCTCCTCCACCTCGTGTCCCAGTAGTCTGTGGTATATGTAAGCGGAAACGGAAGTGTCGTCCACGGCAAATTTCCGCAGTGCTAGCTGCATTCTACAATGGAACGTTATTGTGAGGTATGTGATTAATATGAGGATCTGTGATCTTGGAGGATTACTTACCGGTCGAAGCTGGTGCTCTTCCAAATGAAATCGACGACGAAATTGCTGATGCACTCCGTTGGAGCCCCGGAATTGTTTTTTAATTCTATGCCGACTTCTTCGCCGTAGTTGTCGGGGATTTTAATCACGTGCCCAATGCCTGACCAAGGCTTGTGCAGTTCACCTAAGTAGCGAAGCCTCAACTCGTCCCCGTGCATCAGTTTCATGTCACCATCGGTTTTGGCAAGCATGAAGTACGCTATTGTCTTCTTGTTCAAACCAACGTCCCACCGGACTTCAATGTTCTCTTGCGTTTGAGACTCCTTCAAGCGTTTGTCGTAATCCGCTTCCAGTTTTACTAGCGGACCAAATATATTCTGATATTGGTAACCATCCTCGTACCGCAACAGCACTTGTTGCGGCTCCTCGTCCACTCCAGGTTTCTCTAGATCTTGGAACGTCGCATCGACGTTGTCGCGCCATAGTTCTTCCAACTTGTTAATCTGTTGTGCAGATATCTGACGAGCTCGTAACTGTTCCTGTTCAGATGGAATTTTCACCAGCCATGCAAGGAAACTGCGATCTTCTATCAAAGGCTTCCACTGTTCCTGATCCCTGAAAGATAAAAGATCATTGAAATGTATAGAGTTATCATTGATATAATTGTACACTTTGAATTCTTTATTATGAAAAGAACAATTACCAGTTCATGTCTTTCAAGGAACTTTGAGCTGCACAAGGCTGTCGGCAGAGTAACACGACAACCGAATCTGCCTTTGCAGGAATGAAACCAAGAACAAAGACATTTCTAACGGCACAAGAGTAACATTCCAGAACTGTTTCTCCCAATGGACCATCTCTGTGTATAAAGATTACGTGTAATGTAAACTTTAGAAATGATAATTCAAAACTGCATAACAAGTAAAACACACTACCTATGTAGAGTAACTTCCTTGTGTTTAGCTCTGACAAGATGATTAATGATATGTGAACCAGATGTATTGCCACGTCCATTGCAAAACCATTTGCGGCAGACATTACACATAACAACGCAGGATGCTTCATGAATTCCACAATATTTACAAGCGTGCTCCGGTAAATCACGATTATAATATGCCTCCTCTTCTTCCTCTTCAAATTGTAATTCAGCGAGGCTCTGCGCGGCTCCAGAAATTTTTAAGTCCAAGGAAGACCCACCACTCGTTCCATTAACCTTAACAAGAATCACAAATTACTTCCATACATAAGTATTCCATTCAACTGATCAACATATTTACATCAAAGTTTCAACTCAGTCCTATTCCCTGAAAACCTCTCATTCGGTTTGCACCTGGCTCGGTACTACCATTTCCTAACGCCTAATAAAAGACTACCCATTCGACTTCCTATTACACCAACAAGTACAATCACACGTCCGATCAATCTCACATTCGACAGCAGCAAACTGCGATACGTCTCATACATCTGATTTCGCACAACAAAGTGAAACAACGTTCTCCATGGAAGTCTCACATAACCTCTCAGGCCCGAGAAAGTTATTCTTAAAAATCCGACTCCAAAATGGAACCACGTTCCCCCGGTGGCACGGCATAACCGTGGACACGTTGCCGAGGACATTATCCCGCCCATGAATCACAGGGATCGAGGGAAAAGATCCGCGAATAAGTGTCGCGAGAGCGACACAAGGCGTGAGCGTGCAGGTTTAATGGGCGAACCTTAGAATTTCAAAAATAAATCACTGAAACGGAGCAGGTTAGATGGTCACGTTCGGTTCGCAACGAGAAAACGGCGAGGCCTCGGTAAAATCGTCGGCGCGGGCGGGTCGCGGGTTGAACTTGAGAAACATATGACGAGCCAGAAACCAACCTGTACAGGCTGACTAGGTTGACTTTGAGCAACATCGTGCTGCGATGCTTGAGTCTGACTCGGCGACGGTAGCGTGAAGTCCGTGAAGTCGAATTCGCTGCCCTGCGTGTCCGCGCCGATTAAATCCGCCTCCTCCGGGTCGAGGAACGTGAGGGTCTGACTGCTGGGGCCGTACGCGTCGACGCTCATGCTGCTACGATGCTCTCTCGACGTCCTTTTCGTGTCCCTGCAATAAATGGACTGTCTCGCACGGCTGGTGTACCAGAGAACACCGTCGCGCGCGCGACAACGGTGCGCCGAGCCGAGAAAACACGCTCGGTAAACGACTGGCTCTCGCGGGCACAAACGGAACGGCCGCGCGGCGTGCACGAACGGACGGACGGTTAACACTTTCGACGAAACTGGCCCAGAGAATCCTACGCCATACTTCGCCTCGCGCAAGTCTCGCGCCCACCAACACTGTCACCAGTCGCACACAGCCAACTTTTTCTCCTTTGCGCTCGTCGCGTGTTACGTCATCAGCTGATCTGAAACGCGAGTGCCCAGACCCCAAAAAGAGAATGTCGTCGGATTCCGGTAGCGATTTCACTGCTCGGCCAACGCGGATTCGTCACTTTTCTCGCGTCTCAATCTTTCCTGCCGATTTCTCTTGAAACCTTTATCGGTTATACTCTCCTGATAAGGGGCTGATTGCGTCGCCTTCTCATAGATGGCGTCACCGATCCCCCTCGACTCGCCATAGAGTATATTAGCGGGAAGCAGCTGCGTTGTAATTCTTTATTTTTCTTTCGACTCTCTTGTACCATAAATATCTATTTTCGATCGAATCGTCGATTCTCCGAGCGCGAGGTAATGATTAATAATACAAAGAAAGAGACTCCTCGGTACGCGCAAGTTTGATCGTAATATTTTTCCTTTGGTGTACTTATCTGTTTGATTTCGACGTGACGTGAGTCGTTGATTTTTTTTCGACTATAACCCATTTTGTGGGACTCCTTCAGCGACACCTACGTTTCAAAGCGAACCGATTCCTCGACGATTTATATCTCTTTTATATTCTCGTCAAACCGAACATCCCAATTACAGTACACTTTCCAACGAGTAAAATATTTTTCTTATAATTTTCAAATCACGGAGGTATCTTCGATAAAGTGAAATTAGAATAGATGTCGCTGTCGATTTAAAAGTTCTCAATCGGCGAGTACTTCTCTTTTTATCCGCAAGATAATCTATTATTCCGTGGTCTAGTATTTTTATACTTCATGGTTCTCACTTAGGAGCGATCGGGATTCAAATAATGTGGATGATCGAGTGGAAACGTTCGTGAGTACAGGTTTCAATGATTAATGTGTCTCTAATGACATTTCTTTCGTTCACTTCCATCGATTCGTTTATTGTCGAACTTTTTTTGTTTACGTACATAGACGAGGGTAACAGTAATCGTAATTCTATAGATACAATAAAAAATAATAAATACAAAGTTTAATATATATATATACAAAACGCCTGCCGTCCTCGTAGATCTACAAAACACGCGAACGTTTCTCGTTCGCGCTCTGACAATCTACTTTCGCAATATTCCTATCAAATACATCGTGTACTAAAATGATACAGGGCCTCGATACAAGGTATATTGTACATTTAATTTTCTTACGTCTCGTCAGAATTCAAACTGACAAGTTTTTAACGAGATAAAAAACTGTGACCCGTTCTATATTCGGTATCCCTTAAAAACGATCGTTCGATGAGATTAACCCTTTGCACTCGAGTGACTCTCAGTCACTTGATTCGATACAACAAAATTATGAAGTTGAATATTTAACATTTCAAATGAAAGTTTCCATTGCTACGTGAAATATTTAAATGAAAGAACTCTGTTGCTTAATTTATCTATGAATTATCGTTAAATTAGTTTTTAGAGAATTTTGAATATTTTCATTGAAAAACATTTGAGTGCGAAGGGTTAATGCCAGTGTATAAAAAGGTAATTGGTCTATTCGAAAAAGGTTACTTGTGCGAGATCAGTCTTATGAGAGTTACCATTTCTCGGACAAACTGGTCAGCGTTCCGTTGTTCCCTAGGTTGCCATTCGATTCGAAGGATCGCGATCGAAATTTGAAATCGACCGTTCGTCGGCCATCTTGGAATCCAACGTACAACGGTCCCTCCCACGTTTTCGATTTATTTTTCTCGAATCTTCCGTTTCGACGCGGTGTCATCAGTGATCACGAAATTAGAATTATCAATGTTAATTATATATATATTATTCAGTGATCGAAGAAAGTTTAAGCCAAGACGAGTCGCAAAGCGCCGAATCGATTTTATCACGAATCTCGAAGTAAAATATTTATTTACTAAATTACTTCCGGTGTTGGGTCGAAGCATTCGAGGATTAACCCTTTGCACTCATATTTTTTTAAATTAACCCTCTATAGGCTCGCGCTCAAGTCACACATCAATATACTGGGTAAAATTGATTTAATTTTTGATACTTATTAATTTCATACTGCATAAATTTTATTATAATCACGAAACAAAATTCGGCCCATAGGGGGTTAGCTCAAAGGAAAATCACAGGTAAATTGAGAAACAAAGCTTTCCACACCGATGCATTATATACAGTTGAACATTAAATATCAAATTTTATAGTTGACTGAGAGTCACCTCTCGAGTGCAAAGGGTTAAATTACAGTTCTCCCAAAGTAGACAGTTCCTGTTCGCGGGAAAACATCGTCAAGAGTGTTCGCGCGGTTGCCAGCAGATGTCCGTTGCGCAGTGGTCTCCCGCGCATTCCGACGCAAGGATTCATCCACCTCTCACCACATTACTAAAATGGCACGTGTATGCTTTATTTAGCAAGATTCTCATCCTTACAATCTCTATCCGATACAAACGAAACGTCCAGCCTTTCCCTTCTTCCAGAACGCACCGAGTCTGACGACCATTTCCGATCCCGCGACATCCCGGACACAATCAACGTTCCACTTGCCGCCAATCTGAGCAGCTGCACCGATGATCTACCCGGTACATTCAAGTCTATAGTCAGTACTGAGGATTCGGCGAGTTCCTCTGAAAGTTGTTCTGCTGGCTCTGCTGCAGAGGCCCTGCCGGGCTGGGCCTGCCTTGGTCCCGGTACTGCGGGGGACCGGTGGGTCCATTGGACGGCCCAGGTGGGCCCGGTGGTCCGGGAACTTTCCCATAGTTTCCTCTGGTGGAGCCCTGGTAACTACCATATGCAGAGTCATCGCTACGTCTAGAAATATGCCCATACATGCTTTCCGGTCTCCTAGAATTAGCCGTGTTTTCAGTGTTAGCTGTGATCTGCTGCTGTTGCTGCTGTTGTTGTTGTTGCTGCTGCTGTTGTTGCTGCTGTTGCTGCTGCTGTTGCTGATGATGATTCTGTCCTGTGGGTTGAACGCTGGGTCCTGATGGGGGACTCTGGTTGCCTGGAGGAGGAGCCGGGGCACGCGCATATATGCTGGACCCTGTAGACACACCATAGATCCCGTTCTCCCTGGTGCTCAGGCTGGTGGAGATACCTCTGATGCCATAGATGCTTTGAGTGCACTGCTGCAGCTGATTCTGCATGTTCTGGTTGGTGCTGTTGTGGTTCTGGGAGGTCTGGCTCGGCCCGCTGGGTCCGCTTGGCGGTTGCTGGCCTTCTCTGGAGTTCTGCGAGCTCGCCTGGCCTATTCTGATGGGGTAGAGGCTCTGGGCTGGCACCAGAGGGCCCGGTTTAGGGATCATCAGGCCGTCCTTGGTTCCGGACGTTGATTTGGCGTAGACGCTTTGGGAACGGTTCAGGTTCGCCCGAGTCAGCGGCGGCGATTTGCAGTACAACGACTTCGTGCCACCGTAGATCGATTCGACGCGCTCCAGGGCTGTCGGCGGCGCGCTGTAGATCGAGGAGGATGCGCCGGCCACCGGGCGATAGGTGGCGTACGCGCTGGGAAACTTTGGACCGGTGGGTTTGTCCAGGTCGTCATAGGTGTCCTCGTCGGACCTCATGGATGAATTGTCCCCGTCGTCCATCTCGCGCGAATCTCTGGCGCGCTTCGAGTTCAGCACGTACTCGTACAGCAGCGCGGCCACCGCGCTGCCGGACAACGGTCCCACCCAGTAGACCCAGTGATTGTCCCAGCGGTTGCTGACGAACGCCGGGCCCAGGGCGCGGGCTGGGTTCAGGAATGGACTCTGGAAGAATAATGATTCTAATGTTAGCTGGTGATCAACTTCAGCGTCATATATTTGTGACGGTCGTAGTTCAATGTTTTACATAATGAAAATGAGGTTAAGCATTCTTTATTATTATTGACAATTATCGATGTAATTAATTAGATTGAAGAAAATATTGAGGAGACCGTTACCGATGTAAGCAAGTAGAATGATCTACAAGGGACCTATAGCTAGATTTCTAGTTACGATCGGCTATTTATTAGATTTCCATTATTACACAGTGATGCTCGCTTAAATTTCACAGAAACCTGCTCAGCTTCATTTTACTACACCATCCCTGCTGTCACCATCCCTGCTCGAGTCAACTCCTACAAGCAGATAGCTTTCTTCTGCTCGGTTAAATCCACTGCTACGAAACTGAAATTTAAACGAGCAACTCCTGAAGTCTACAACGGATAGCCTGCTATCTACACCATCCCTGCTGTCACCGACACTGCTCCAGTCAACTCCTACAAGCAGGTAGCTTTCTTCTGCTCGGTTATATCTACTACAACGAAACTGAAATTTAAGCGAGCAACTCCTGAAGTCTGCAACGGATAGCTACTTCTACACTATTTCTGCTCGGTCACCGACACTGTTCCAGTCAATTCCTACAAGTAAATAGCTTCCTTCTGCTCAGTTAAATCTACTGCTACAAAACTGAACTTTAAGCGAGCAACTCATCTACAACAGATAGCCTCTGCTTACGGGGAGAACACCGGAGAGAGCGTTTCGGTGCACGTTGTTCAACGTGCACGCACGGTAGTCTCGCGCTTCTTTTTACTGCATTGTACACACACTTTCCGAAGCAGGTGGCATCGGGATCGGGTTCTTTCGGTTCTTTTTTCTCCTCCGTCTTTCTCCGGCCCCCTTGCCCCCCGTCCGCCGCGCCGTCGCCGGGCTCTCCTCTCATCTGGCCTGTTCTTAGAGCGCAGGTGCTCTTTAAAGACGCGGACGTGGGTCCGATTCGAAAGAGACCGAGAAGAGAGACGCCTCGGATAGACCGGTTGGCCCGGGGGAACGGGAAAAGGTGCTCGCTATGACGAAATTACCGTGAACGTTCTCGGTTCGGCCCTACCGGGAAACATTAACGCTAACTGTCGCGGCGACCGGTAGCCTAACAGGTAGATCTCTCAGCGACACCATTGTAGGCTCGAATGATTTCTCTTGCAGCGGCACGCGACTGGATTCTCGATGGCGATCACGAGTACGCTCGTGATTATGGGATCAGGGCACGAATGTCTTCGTTGGAGTTTGGAGTATATGAGATGATGATCTTCACTTACCGAAACTAAGGTGGCCGCTGTATATGCTGCGGCCAACACTCCGGCTGGTTTCGAGGAGATGGACATCGGCAGGGTTTTAGAGGACTCCGAGGTGAAGTGGGCGAGAACGATCAGCACCGACAGAGCTAACTCCACCAGCAGCCTCTCGATGGCTCCGTTCAGGCGACCGGGAGACGTCAAGGTTTGCGTGTTCGATGGCGTGGTCACTCTGCAACAGAAAGGGATTGCCGTTGTTAACGCTAATCGTACCGAGAACCGGTTGAATTGATGGATAACACTGCGTTTTCTTTGTTCGTTGAATTTTATATCAATTTTCGTATTGTTTGGTTCATCGGTTTGTCAATGTTTGTCTTTGGAATTGGTTTCCAGTGGAAAACAATGTGTCATCTAGTTTGTAGATAGTTATTTGACTAGTGGGAAAAGTGTTAGTCATTAATTAGTCATGATTAATCAATTTTCATATTGTTTGGTTCATTGGTTTGTCAATGTTTGTCTTTTGCATTCGTTTCTAGTGGAAAACAATGTGTCATCCAGTTTGTAGACAGTTATTTGACTAGTAGGAAAAGTGTTCATCTCGGTAAAACTATAAAATTTGATACTTAATATTAAACTTCGTACAATGCATCAATTTGAGAAATATTCAAACAAAACAGCTTTGTCCCTCAATTTAAGTATAATTTCTCGTCGAGTTCACAAAATATCCTCTCTATCTCATCAGAAGACGTTAAAATATTTCTAATGAAAAACACCCGAGCTCGAAGGGTTAATAGTTCACCCAGTGAAAACTCGCGAGAAGGATTATCGATTCGAGGCTGGAAGTATTATCGGGGCGTCGCATATGGCATCGTTTGCAACCGCGCTTCCCGGTGTATAATACGCCGATGATTTTCCCATTGAAAGTAACACCGACTCCGACACCACGGTCGCAGACCCCCGCGGCGTCCCGGTCTCCACGGTGCAATGTTTATATTAGCCGGTGCATCCTCGATCCCCCTGACTCTCGACGGCTCGGCGCCCCTTTCGTCCGTTTCTTTCGCACGAAACCCTGTTAATTTTCTCGCTTCGTACGACTGCACGGGGTCACGGGCACGCGACCTGCTCCTCCGTCGCTGCCCGCCGAGCATTGGCCGGCGTGGACGGATCCTGTTCGACCGTCACGCGTGTAAAGATTTTTTTAACACTATGAAAGATACGTCCAAAGTTTCATTTCAATTCATTCTATAAGAATAACGTATATTGAAGTTTATTTAGGTTGACCGTCATATTTAATTACAGAATAATAACCGTTCATGTGGGATAGTTTAGTTAGTAAATTACCGGTCAACAATGTGTTAACTCTATGCCGTCCGGTAACACCGCGAAAACAATCGGACAAATTCCGGTGACATCACATTGGTGTCGTGTGCAAAGCTATCAAACAAATGCCGGTGACATCACATTGGCTATTTAAATTGTAATTTCTGTGGAAAGCCAATGGCCACTACTTTTTACCATGACGAGTATACTCGTCGTGACACAGTTACTGATCAACTGGTTAACTGAACATTCATTCATTGACCAGTTTCATTCAAGCTTTCCCTGACTTTCCAGATATTTCCATATTACTTCTCTACATTTCTGTCTCGTATACTATTCTCTGACAAATATCTCAAAAAATCCTCACAAACATTCACGTACCACACAAGAAACCTTCGAGTTGAAATTGGAATATTCAAATACTCAAAACGATCTTGAGAATAGATTCCTTTCAACTACAATGAACAATTGCATCGTTTCTGTCTCGTATACTATTCTTTGACAAATATCTCAAAAAATCCTCAAACACTCGTGTACCACACAAGAAACCTTCGAGTCGAATATTGGAATATTCAAAT